CTTATATACTTCACATAAATAATTCAACCTAGCAATTCAGTTTAAATAATTCTTATAAATATTAGACAATGTCCTTCATTTTAAATTCGATTGAGTCAATTTTGATTATTTACTATTCTGTAAACATATAAGTTACAATATTACATAAATCTATTTGAAAACATTTAATGTTCCTCAATTATTTCATTGCGGTACGGGAAGTTCCAGCAATTTGCCTTAATGCACGATGCTATACACACCACTAGTTTCTTTTACATTATTGTTTCTCTCATCTTATGTCCATCTTATGTTCATGGAAACCTGTCTTAAATTTCCGTACCTGTGAACTCGCTGGATCTTAATTAAGATATAAAGAATAACAACAGTGGTTGCCGTGCTGTTGTATTATAAAAACCTTAGCGTCGGGAAGATTATAGAACCGAAAATTTCGGTAAGATCTCGTATCACATCTGCTCTACAAAAAGCACGATGAACATAATACACAACAGCGCGCCATGTGATTAGACCGTCAAGCTGAAGTAATGACTCAATCCAGCTTTATGCCATCAATTCTGGAATTAATCTACCTCTTTAGTGCGGCTTGGCAACATTTTATAGCAATCTATGCGGTTATAAAATAGCCAATTATATATTTTTTTCTAAAATTAAATCTTCAAAAGTCTGACTTTGATAAATCGTGGTTTTTAATGCTAATTATGATCTTATGCCTTATGCAATGCTTCATAAGGCAATTGGTTATGATGTAACTGAAGCAAGAAAGAATTGCAATTTGTCAAAAAGTGTTTGTTGTTCGATGTCGTCAAATTAAATAGAAGGTTTGGAAGGATTTGCAAAAGAATTTGGATGAATGACGATTTATGCTCGAAGAAAAGCAAATGCGATGAAGTATGCAGTAGAAAAAAATTAAATTAGTGGGGCGCATGGCATCGTGCCTTAAGGCAAATTGCTAGAACTTTCCGTAAATATTTTTTTATTTTTTTTTTAAAAGATTAACATTTTTGATTGAATTGAATTTTACTTCGAAAAATTAGTTTTTTAGAAATTATAAATTTTTGACAAAAAATTACTTTTTTTAGAAAAAAAAACTATTTGAAAAAAATTTTTTTTCTTTATTTTGAAATATTTTGGAAATTTTGAACTTTTTTCAAAGCAATCGTACTGCTTTAACTGCATATAGACGAAATGTGAAAGCGCGTAAGCGTCGCGTCGCCGTCATACGAATAAACATCATTGGTACGGAATCCATAAGAATGTAAACAAAATTTATACTTATTGTTAAAATCTCTATAAAATATCAGATAATTTGTTGAGCATATGTCTAATGATTATTTTTGACCGCCAAATGGCTTTTTTTTACTTTTTTACTAGATCTCCGAAACCGATAGACCTGTCTTCATGAAAATTTAACCAGTTCTTCATCTTGCTAATACAAGTAAAATGTTTTTTTAGTTATTAAATTGGACGCTCCGTTAAAAAACTGAGTTACCGTTTGTGGCACATTTACCCGTATCTTCGAAACGACTAGACTTGCCTATGCCAAAAAAACTAATCAGCACGTCTCCTTATCAACAGCAATAGAATGTTTTTTGAATAATAGAAATTGGTTGATTCGATCGTGTTTCCGAAATCGTTGACGAAAATGTTAACTTCCACAACCGAACACCGTTGACTTCCCGTAGGGTAAGAAGTTATAGTAATCGCAAAAAAAATCGAAAATGAAAATTTTTATATATCTTTACGTTTCAGAGGTTTTTGAACATTGAACACGGTTCAACCGATTTAAATTATTCAGAAAACATTCGATTTCTATTGATAAGGAGACGTGCTGATTAGTTTTTGACATAGGCAGATCGAGACGTTTTGAAGATCAGGGCAAAAGCTGCCAAAAACGGTAAGTAAGTTTTTAAGAGAACGGAGCGTCCGATTTTAATAATTCAAACACATTTTATTTGTATTGACAAAATGAAGAACTGATTAAATTTTTGGGAAGGCAGAAAGGCAGACATACGCACATCAAACTATCAGATATTATATGGTGATTTTAATAATGCGTATCAATTTTGTTTAGTGGCGAGCATAACTCTTTGGTAGCGTGTTCGATTCACACGACAGGGATCTTCGGATCAAATCCTGACTATGTCTTAGAATTTATGAAAAAAAAGTGTAGTTAATTTGAAACCAAATAAAATTGTATTTGTTAAATAGAATTTGAATAAAAATTAAGAAAAATAGGAATAATAATTCGAATTGAATTGATTGAATTAGGAGTAAGAAGAGAAATATTGGAACTTAAAAGAAGAATGAAGAAAAAAAATGGAATGAAGCTGAAAGTTAAATAGAATTAGAAATTTGAAAAAGAGCAAGAATTGAAGAAAATAAGAAGAAGAAAAATTAAGAAGAATATAGAATAGGATACATAAATAGATTGAAAATGATATAAAAAAATTAGAATGTAAATAAATAAAAATGTTGTAGGTGGCTAAATGCTCAGAGTAAGCGAGGCCAAATAAATTTTAAAAAAAAATACATTTTTATGAGTTCCGTAACATCGTTTGTCTGCGAGACGGCGACGCAGCGCTTATGCGCTTCGATAGTGCGACTCTATGCAGCAAAAGCAGTGCGATTGCTTTGAAAATAGTTCAAAATTTCCAAAATATTTCAAAATAAAAAAAACTTTCATAATTTTTTTTTTCCAACAGTCAATTCTTTTTAAAATTTCCAAATTCTCAAAAATCCATTTTTTCAAAGTTAAAAAAAAAACTTTTTTATAAAATTTAATTTTAGGTACGGGAAGTTCCAGCAATTTGTCTTATGGCCACGAAACCATACACCACTATTCTTAATAAATACAGCATACAAAAGTTACTGTTCTAAATGAAACATTATAGAACTTATTATTTCTATAAAACCTTCATAAAATATAATATTTAAAATCTTACATTTTGAATTATTATAGCATGAAAGTTAATAAGTGCTACCTTATACATTTGCCGGCCACTTATTTCGAAACATTCAATTATCTCGGGGGATACTTAGGAATAAACAAAGAGAACCCCATAGCATTTTATTTTTACAGCCAGCCTTGCACCTGCTTCGTAATTCTTTAATATCAAACGCAAATAAAGAAGCGTTAAAAGTAAAACAAGATTGCTTATTATAAACCAACATGGACTTTGCCATCACTAAGCAATTTTGGCTGTAGAAATTGCTCACTTCCTCAATAGTGAAATTAGTAATTAAATTTGTCATTTTCAGTTTATGTTGGATTAGTAATACGTCTCCTGTGTAATTAATTGTTGTTAACTTCCCATAGGGTAAGGTATAGTAATCGTCAAAAAATCGGAAATAAAAATGTTTGCATATCTTTTCGTTTGAGAAGTTTCTGAACATTTGGCATACTTTATTGTTAGAAATAATGGATGTGAAATTTGTTTCCCAGATTTTTTTTAAAATAACATTTGGTGGTCGAAAATCAGGTAATTCCGACAATATGGATTTGGAGTACCAAAAACTTTCAAGAAAATTCAAAATTTACAACAAAAAAATTAGTTTTGAAAAAGTTTTCAAATAATATTAGTATTTTTAAAAATTATCAAATTTTGCAAAAAAATTATAATTTTTAAAAAAGGCATTTTTTCAATATTCAAATTTTTCAAAGTTCTCAAATTTTCAAAAATATTTGAAAAAAAAAATGGAAATTCTCAAAAATTTAAATTATGGTACGGAAAGTAACAGCAATTTCCTTAAGGCACAATGATATGACCAGTAGTC